AGCTACTTGGGAGGCTGAGGCAGGAGACTTACTTGAGCCCAGGAGTTGGAGGTTGCTGTGAGCGTGATGCCATGCACTCTACCCAGAGGGATAGCTTGAGCCTCCGTCTCAAAAAAAAAAAGTTGCAGATCTTTCTATGTTTGAAGAGGTGGGCAAGGTACAGGTAGAAGGTCCTGGGTCTACATGTCTGAGGAGGTGGGCAAGGCATAGGTATTAGGTTCCGGATTTTTCCATGTTTGAAGAGGTGGACAAGGTACAGGTAGAAGGTTCTGGCTCTACCAGTATCTGAGGAGGTGGACAAGGCACAGGTAGGAGGTTCTGGGTCATTCCTTGTCTGGATCTTTCCATGTTTGAGGAGGTCGGCAAGGCTCAGGTATGAGGTTTGGGATCTGCCTGTGTCTCAGGAAGTGGGCAAGGCAGAAGTATGAGGTTCTGGATCTTCCCATGTCTGAGGAGAGCAAGACAGAGGTATGAGGTTCTGGATCTTTCCATATCTGAGGAGGTGAGCAAAGCACAGGTTTGAGGTGCTGGGTCTGCCAGTGTCTGAGGAGGTAGGCCAGGTATGAAGTTCTGGATCTTTCCTTGTCTGAGGTGAGCAGGGCACAGGTATGAGGTTCTATATCTTCCCATGTCTGAGGAGGAGGGTATCAGGTTCTGGGTCTGCCAGTGTCTGAGGATGTGGGCAGAGGACAGGTATGGGATTCTGGATCTTTCCATGTCTGAGGATGTGGGCAAGACAGGTCTGAGGTTCTGGATCTTTATACAGGAGGAGATGGGCAAGGTGCAGGTATGAGGTTCTGGGTCTACCCGTGTCTCAGGAGTTGGGCAAGGAACAGGTATAAGGTTCTGGATCTTTCCATGTCTGAGATGGTGGAGAAGACACAGGTATGAGCCTGGGGCTGCCAGTGTCTGAGGAGATAGACCCTGACTTGGCAGGGAAGACCATGGTAAGGTGATCAGTTGAGGCTTTTGGCTCTGGTCTGTCCTCTGTTTAGTCTGCCCTGTTGGTCAGGCCTGAGCGTTGCCAGTGCTTTTCCTGCTATCTTCTTTCCAGAGGTGGGTTGGGCCAGTTTCTCCGAGCTGCACCTGATGAAGGGCCGTGGTCTTTGAAGACAAGTTCTCTGGCAGGAGGGAGGGGGGCGGGTGTCCTGGCTCCCCCTCAGCACCTTTTTCTATCTCTCCTAGTGGGTAGGAGGACGCTACTCCCTCTGGTCAGCCATTGGACTCTCCATTGCCCTGCATGTGGGTGAGTATGACTGTGTTCCTGTTTCTTGCAGCCCCCAGAGACGATGTTGCAGCCTAATGTCAAGGGTCAGGGGCTCATGTTCCTGAACACTGTGTCATCCCCACAGGCTGCTGACCTCTCCATCCTTGGCTGGAACATTTCTTTCCTTCTTTTTGGGGGGACAAAGATTCACTCTTGAGCCCTAGGTAGAGTGCTGTGGCATCATCGTAAGTCATGGCTACCTCAAACTCTTGGGTTTGAGCAATCCACCTTCCTTGGCCTCCCAGAATGCTGGGAGGATTGCTCCCAGGATTACACATGTGAGCCACCATGCCTGGCCAGCGGGAATTGTCTTTCAGGCCCAAAAGAAGGTCTGGGTATTCTCCTAGGGTTTCAGGTTGGCCCTTCTTTCTGACCCTCACAAGTGCAATCCTATTTGTTTCCCATTCTGGGCAGAGCTCGGTCCCTGTTATCAGAGCCAACTCTGACGAGAGGCTTTTGGCAGGTCTTAGGGCGCAAGAGTGTGAGACTCTGTCCCTGTGCTCAGAGCCAACTCTGATGAGGGCTTTCTGCACGCCTATTTCTTCTGGCTCCTAGCTGCCCATCCAACCTTGCCCAGCTCCAGAAGAAGCTGTGCATACCACCTGGAGGACGGCAGGGTGTGGCTGTTCTGTTGACTCTGCTTTTATGTCACAGGTTTTGACAACTTCCAGCAGCTGCTCTCGGGGGCTCACTGGATGGTGAGTACTGAGACTCCTGTTCTCTGCCAGTGCTGTCCCTTCTGCACCCTTTCTCCCTACTGGCCCTCCCTCTCCTGGCCGCTGCTCAGCTCCCACCTGCCCTGCTCCTGTTTCAGGACCAGCACTTCCGCAAGACGCCTCTGGAGAAGAATGCCCCTGTGCTGCTGGCCCTGCTGGGCATCTGGTACATCAACTGCTTTGGATGTGAGACCCACGCCATGCTGCCCTACGACCAGTACCTGCACCGCTTTGCTGCCTACTTCCAGCAGGTACCAGTTGCCTCGACAGACTTTGGAGTCAGCAGGGCCTGTGGGCGGCCTGGGAGGTCTAGGAGCTCTTTGCCTGTTGCCCTTGGGCATGGCCAAGGCCCACCTCTGTTACCTATCTCATGTCAAATCTTTATAATCTGGGGCTGTTCCTTCTGAGTGTCCACTGAGTTGACCACCAGGGGTTGGGGCATGACTGACTGAGGGACTGTGTCTCACTGAGCTGGGGCCATTTCTTTCTTGAACGTCATTCTGCATGCCTGCCACAGGGTGGGGTTGTGAGCACGACCCCTTGTAGCCCTCAATACTCCTGTCTCTTCAGAAAAGCAAGTCTGCATCCAGTCTGTTGTGTCTCTTTAGGGGACACAGCCCTCTGACTCCCTGGAGTCTCCAGAGCCCCCAAGACTGAGCAGCCCCTCTACTTAATAAGATTCTATTCCTGGCTCAGCTCCTGTAGTACAGTGGTTATGGCATCAGCCACATGCACTAAAGCTTGCAGGTGCAAGCCCAGCCCGGGCCAGCTAAATAACAATGACAACTGCAACAAAATAATAGTTGGGCATTGTGGCAGGCACCTGTAGTCTCAGCTGTTTGGGAGGCTGAGGCAAGAGAATTGCTTAAGCCCAAGAGTTGGAGGTTGCTGAGCTGTGACGCCATGGCACTCTACCAAGGGTGACATAATGAGACTCTGTCTCAAAAAAAAAAAAATTCTATTCCTGAAAACCCGTCTGCATCTCTCCCTGCTTTTGTTTACCACAAACCTGGTCCCTACCCTGTAGCCCCTGAGCTCCTTTGGGCAGGTCCAGGAGACTTGCATCAACTTGGGGGGGTGAATTCTGTGGGTTGAAGGAGGACCAAGGCTCCCTAAGTCCCAGATGCATTGGACAGTTACCATCACTAGGGTGTAGATGGGTATCCAGTCTCTAGTGTCCAGTTGAAGTAACAGCCCTCAAAGCTGTACACTCGGGACCCCAGCTTGCCCTTCCTTTAAGAAATGAGTTGAAGATTTTGTGACTAATTTTGTTTTTAGGGCTTGGCGCCTGTGGCTCAAGTGGCTAAGGCGCCAGCCACATACACCTAAGGTGGCAGGTTCGAATCCCCAGCCTGGGCCCGCCAAACAACAATGATGGCTGCAACCAAAAAATGGCCAGCGCTGTGGCGGGCGCCTGTGGTCCCAGCTACTTGGGAGGCGGAGGCAGGAGACTCGCTTGAGCCCAGGAGTTGGAGGTTGCTGTGAGCAGTGAAGCCATGGCACTCTACCCAGGGGGGACAGCTTGAGGCTCTGTCTCAAAAAAAAATTTTGTTTTTAGGGAGGTCCTCACTGGACCTCCAGTTCCCCTTTTCCTGGTCATGGGTCTTTCCTGTGTGTATTCTAATCCAGAAATCTTGGAAGGCTGTGTCCCCATGGTGCAGGGGACATGTGTGTGCAGGTCTCCCTTGTGGGCAAGGCATACCAGATGTGCCTGGGGAATCTGAGGCATTACTTGGGCACAGTGCGTAAAGGTCTTGCAGGTAGAAGGCTACGTTTCTGTCCCCACTCAAGGGCGACATGGAGTCCAACGGGAAGTACATCACCAAGTCCGGCGTCCGTGTGGACCACCAGACGGGCCCCATTGTGTGGGGGGAGCCAGGGACCAATGGCCAGCATGCCTTCTACCAGCTCATCCACCAAGGTAGGGCCCATCTAGCCTGGGCAGGTGTGGCCTGGGAGGGAAAAGATCTGCCAGCAGGGACTTCTCGCCTAAGTCAGTCCTTTCCTCTAAGCCACAGGGATAGCTCCCTTTGACTGGGGTCATGTGGGTGACCACAGTGCCCTTCACAGGCACCAAGATGATACCCTGTGACTTTCTCGTTCCGGTCCAGTCCCAGCACCCGATACGGAAGGGTTTGCATCACAAGGTAAGAGCCCCCACCCGGACCCTACTCCCATTTTCTAGGCTCAGTTTACACCCAGACCTCCTAAGACCTGATTCTTTGGTCAGCAGTTACATTTGTTTCCTATCCTGTCATAACAAATCACTGTAAGCCTAGCATCTAAGACAACAGCTGAGCCGGGCACAGTGCTCATGCCTGTAATCCCAGCACTCTGGGAGGCCGCTGCGGTGGATTGCCAGAGCTCACAGGTTTGAGACCAGCCTGAGCAAGAGCAAGACCTTGTCTCTAAAAATAGCCGGGTGTTGTGATAGGCGCCTATAGTCCCAGGTACTCAGGAAGCTGAGGCAAGAGGATCACCTGAGCCCAAGAGTTGGAGGTTGCTGTGAGCTGTGATGCCACAGCACTCTACCAAGGGTGACAAAGTGGGAGCCTGTCTCCAAATAAAAACAAAACACCCATTTGTTATTGCAAGGTTTCTGTAGGTCAGAAGTCCAGCAGGCTCTACTGTGTGCTTAGAGTCTTACAGGCTGAAATTGAGATGCTGGCAGGACTGTGTCCCTTTCTGGAGACTCCAGGGTGGTGTTTTTTGACCTTTTTTATTTCATGGCACACTCGAACCTATAGTTACATTTCTGCAACACACTTAAATTATGTTGATCAAAAAAAGGTAAAAAAAAAAAATACATATTTATATATTTATTGTGCTTTGAATTTCTTTCAAAAATAATTTTTTGGAGGGTCAGAGTCCCACTATGTTGCCTGCAGTCGAGTGCTGTGACATCATAGTTCATGGCAACCTCAAACTCTGGCCTCAGGTGATTCTCTTGCCTTAGCCTCCTGAGTAGCCGGGACAAAGCACGGCTGCTTTTTTTAAGAGATGGGGGTCTCATCTTGCTCAGGCTGGTGTTGAACTCCTGAGCTCAAGCAGTCCACCCTCCTCAGCCTCCCAGAGTGCTGGGATTACAGGCATGAGCCACCGCACCCTACCAGATTGAAACTTTCTCAAGCTTTGATTTCTCTCCTGCCACTTCTGTGGCATCTCTCTGATTGCCCTGCCTTCCTCTTCTACTTTGCTCAGCTACTTTTAATGGCCTATGGGTTTAGATCATGTTCACCGGGTAATATCCTCTTTTGTAAAGCTGATAACTTTAGTTCTACATGTGAAGCTTTGTGTGCGTGTGTAACACACACACACATAACAGCAGGGGCAAAGATCATGGAGCCAAGACCTTGCCTGTCATAGCAGCAAATGGGAAAACTGCAGCTTACAGCCTAACAAAGTCCTCGAAGAGAATTTATTGTGCCTTGTTTTGGATGTACACACAGCATAGCATCATTGTGGCACAAGCATTGGAGTCAGTGACAGGGAATGAATTCTGACTCTTACCCTCTGTAATTCTGTGATCTACCGCTGTTGAGTTGAGGAAAGTGAGGCTCAACTAGAATAGAGAGATGATACCTCTCTCACTCACGATCTTGAAAAGCAGATGTTTGTATAATTATTAGCAGAACCCCTGGCAAGTAGTATATAGTCCTTAAAAAGTAGTTAGCATTGTGGCTGCATGCAGTAATCCACAGCACTATAATCCCTGCACTCTGGGAGGCCAAGGCGGTGGATCACTTGAGCTCACGAGTTTGAGACCAGCCTGACCCAGAGCAAGACCCCATCTCTAACAAATAGCCAGCTATTGTGATAGGCGCCTATAATCCCAGCTACTTGGGAGGCTGAGGCAAGAGGATCTCTTAAGCCCAAGAGTTTGAGGTTGCTGTGAGCTATGAAGCCATAACACTCTGCCAGGAGGCAAGAAAGTGAGACTGTCTCCAG